GCAATGTTTTGCCAAGGATTTTTTGAAGAGATGGTTTTCTAGCTGCGAATTCTTTTAACTTTTGTTTATCATGGAAGGTTTTAATTTCATCTTCTAACCTGAAGCTTTCATAGTGATATTTACTTTTAAGTCAAGAATTAAGATTATGCATAGGCTTTTTCAGAATGGTAGAATGTCTAGCAAGGTGAAAAGAAGAATAATGTATATTAATTGTCATATTAAAAGCTATATTTTACTGTCATATAACAAGTTTTATTTCAGCAGGAGTATAAAACAATATCATAGATGAGCTAATTAATAGACACCAAATTACCAGGAGGCTCATGCAACTATTTCATTCTAGTATGCTTGCTCTGAGCACATTCTGACAGTTCTCAAATTCCATTAGGAATGAGTATGCTTCTTCAAGACTCTATTTAATTTGCTTTCTTATCACACTGGTTTTCTCACAGCTCGAGAGATGGCTGCTCAGTGTGTCACGAAGGTGGAGCTGAATGTTTCCTGTGACAATCTCTTGGATAAAGATGTAGCATCAAAATCAGACCCGTTATGTGTGTTATTTTTGAACACGAGTGGTCAACAGTGGTATGAGGTAATATTAAGTAATTTAGGTGAAAAGAAAACTGAATCTCATTTTTCACAATGTGAGGAGTTTATTTAATAAGTTAAAAATAATAGAACCATCTCATCTGTTAATATAGTTTTTTTTTTTTTGGACAAGCTTGTACTTGATTGTGGAATTCTTCATTCACATTAAGAAACTTCTTTTGGTTTTCATGTCTATAATTATGTTTAGTAAGCAAAGATGTTAAAACTGAAGTRTACCTTTGATCTGAAGACACTTTGTTGTGTTTTGTTTGGGGAATGGGTGTAGGTTGATCGCACAGAAAGGATTAAGAATTGCTTGAATCCCAAATTTTCTAAGACATTTATTATTGATTACTACTTCGAAGTGGTTCAGAAATTGAAATTTGGGATTTATGATATTGACAACAAAACTATCGAACTGAGTGATGACGACTTCTTAGGAGAATGTGAATGTACCCTTGGACAAGTAAGTATAAATAGCTGCTATATTCTACTTTGTTTGCATTTTCACTGGAGACTTGGATGTTTTTGATGAGTGTTCATTAGTTTAATTTTTTAAGTTGAAAAGCATGTAATTGTGTTAAAGATTGAATTCATATATTGGTATGGTTGGCTTAAACATTATAGAATTTATCTTATTTTTCATAAAGGCAAGGATCATGTTTTTCTGGCAAAGCCTATTCATTCTTTTGAATTGGGGTGCTTCATTTGGCATTTCAATAAATAATATCACTGCTATAGTTACTGCAGAGTTCAGTGTAATTTTATTATATTTGAGTCATGAATCCTATTGAAGTCACATTAACTCCCTGGTGTTCTGACTAGTATGACTGGTACCTCTTAGCCTCTGATGCCTCAAAACCATTCTTTTACGTGACTTGTTCTTTTTCCACTCATTTTAACCCCATTTACTCCATAAAACTTCCCTGGCCTCCTGGACTAGTTTAATGCCTACTCTGAGTTCACTTTAGCACTCTCCACTTCTTCTCACTCTATTTAGTGAAGTTGCCTTATTACCTGTCCTCTCTTTACATGATGAGCTGGATTACAGCAGTGATGCCTGGTGGCTTGCCCTAGCTCAGTCTGGTTTATCAGGAGAGATCATACCCATTTGTATAAACCCAAGGAGGCATCAGGAAGGAGGAGTCATTTCTTTTTCAACAAGTGAATTTATCATTTAGCTTTGTTTTTCATGGGTTAAATTTTCGGGCTTATTGGAAAATCATGCCCTGTGTCTCAAGGGCATTGTGGAATTGATCAGTTTTATAAGATTCACCAATAGTATTAGAGAGAAAATTAAAGAAATATTTATTTTGGGTAAAAAACACGATATAGCTAATATTCTAGTGGATTTGAGAGATATATCAGTTGGGAAGTACATAGGTATATATTATTTTAAGCAAGATGATATTTTGTGGAAGTTAAATATCGAAATTGTGCATCAGTTGAAAAATTTAGTTTTATACCTCGAGGGGTTTCAGCTCAGTGATCTGTGTAGGAGATGAGAATCTGAACTTCTTTTTCTATTACAAGAAAGAAGTTTAATTATGACAAAATTAATAAAGAATTTGTGGGTGGGGAGATTGTATCTTGCCAAAGTGGGATCTTTGGAAATCTTTTTCAGTGGGTTTTAAATGTGTAGATGCATTTTAAATCTCCTTATAATCTCTAGATCTTTAAGGAATGGACTTAATGTTTCCATTTCAAATGACTCTAAGTGAATTTTATGTTCATTCTTTTTTTTAACTATTCAGTTTAAAGTGAATAGCTCTTTCTGTTACTTCCAATTTTAACAGATTGTCTCCAGTAAGAAGCTAACTAGACCACTGTTACTTAAAAATGGCAAACCTGCAGGGAAAGGGAGCATTACGGTAAAGATACTTTGTCTTTTGTCTCAAAATATTTAGCATAATGCTGAAATTATACATATCAGACAAATATTTTTTAGCTATGCTTTATTACTTGATCTCAAATGTTGCCTTTCCATCCACCCTTGCATTATAGTAATCACAAATAGAAAGTGTGCTGTGCCAAAAAAGGAGAAAAAGTCAGCGTGGGAATGCCTTCTTTCAGTTTTTTAAGTTGCCCATAGAGGTCAGGAACATTTTGGTGAAACTTATTCCTGTTCCATGAAAGAGTCAATTTCCAAGTTAGAAACTACTAATCCAAATGGATCAACTTGACTTTCTATAAAGGAAACAGGTCTCTCAATATGTGTATTAGGATTCTCTAGAGAAATGAAACCAACAGGTTATATGTCTATATAATTATAAAGGAGAATTTTTAAATTGGCTTACATGATCAGAAGCTAAATAGTCCCATAGTCACTGTCTGCACATGAGAGATCTGGAGGAACTAGTAGCTGCTTAGTCCAAGAAGCTTGATCCTCAAACAAAGGGGACCAATGATACAGCCCTAGACTAAGACTGAAGGCCTGGGAACTCCCTGGAGAATCTCTGGTGAGAGTCCACCTTGTAAGAGTGAAGAAGATGGAGTCTGTTGTCCAAGGGAGATGGAAGCAGCAATAGATGCACTGCTCAAGGAGAATCCTTCTTCTGTCTTCTTTTCTATCCAGGCCCCCCAGTTTATTGGAGAGTGTCACCTTCATTCAGGGTGGGTCTTCCCCCTTCAGTTTGATGCCCCACATGCCAGTCATCTCTGGAAACACCCTCATAGACACACCTAGAAGTCTCTTAATCCTAGATGTTTCCTAGGAGTCTCTCAGACTAGATTAACCATTACAACGTAACAGAAACTTTCCATGGTGGATTTTATTACAGATGGATATTACATTATAACATGGCCATTGAACCTGTAAACTTTTACCATTGCTTTTTGTTCTTGTACTCTGCTACCCATCTTCCCATCCAGATTTTCCATTGTTCACTACTGTCTCTAAGGAAATAAATATATGCTGTATCATGTTTTAGATTTTTAATTGCATAATGACATGCTTTTAAATTTTTTCTAGAGTTTCTGTCCAAGAAACCATTGCCTGGAGCAATAGAGTTCTAACTGTAGCTCTCTGAGAATGAAAGCCTGGCTACCTAGAGAGAGTTTCAGGGTTATTATAGTCATCAAATACATTTTTTGAGCAGCTGTTAGGCTTTAGGTCAGATTTCCAAGGGCATAAGAATGTTCAGACTGTTGGCAGTATTGCCTTTTGTAGAGCAGAGAACATATTCGGTAGTTATTTCTCTAGGGACATGGTAGCCACAAGTTGTTTTGTGTGTATGATGCTGTGGATTGAACTCAAGGCTTGGTCATGTCAGTTAGGCATGTGCTCTACCACTGAACTGGGTTCCCAGCCCCTAAGAATTTATTTTTTAAGTAGAATAGGTCTTTTAGTTACACTTGATGAAAAACACTGATCTGGGGCTGGGGATATATCTTTGTGTTAGAATGTTTGCCTATCATGAGAAAGTCCCTGTGTTTGATCCCTAGTACTGGGGTGGGGGGGGGGCGGGAACCCAAACCAAAAAACCACTCATCTGATACATATATATATGTTGTAGTTGGACACAATTTCTTTCTTTCTTTCTTTCTTTCTTTCTTTCTTTCTTTCTTTCTTTCTTTCTTTCTTTCTTACTTTCTTTCTTTCTTTCTCTCTCCCACTCTCTCTCCCTCTCTCTCTCCCTCTCTCTCTCCTTCCTTCCTTCCTTCCTTCCCTCTTTCATTTTTATGTGGTGCTAAGGATTGAACCTAGCACCTCACATGTGCTAGGCAAGTGCTCTACCATTTAGCCACAACTCCAGCCCTCATCTGATATTTTAATTCATAGAGTTCTCCAGGTGTGATTTACTTGGGTTCTCAATGTTTGGAGAGCTCTAGAGGGTTTTGTGTAGAGGGTAGCCTTCAATCTTTGAGGGCTTCCATTTTTTTCTATGGAATAGGAAGATTCCAGTTAGGGAAACTATACTTAAAAAAGAAGTTGCATAATGCAGCCTTGGCATATTTGGAAAAGATATTTATTTCACACACATAAAATAAATAATGGTAAATCTTTCTTATTGCTACCGATTTCTTATTAGGCATTGTAGAATTCACTTTTATCAGTACAGACTTTATATGCTATTAGATTAAAAAGTACTTTGTTCATTAGTATATCAGAATCTGTAAACATATACTTTCACTTATCTACTCATAGATTTCAGCAGAAGAAATAAAGGATAATAGAGTGGTCTTGTTTGAAATGGAAGCCAGAAAACTGGATAATAAGGTATGTAGAACATGCAGATTTCAACAAGAAACTGTGTTTTTGCCTCATGTTGATTTATTTTTGAGAAAATAATCATTTAATCTCAATTCCACCGTTTGAGCATAATGTAGGGTGTTAGTTATTCCCAAATTCTGTGTGTGTGTGTGTGTATGTGTGTGTGTATTTAAACAGAGCCTATTTCCTTTTACCTCTTTGAAGTAGGTGTAATCAAAGAATTAGTATAGTTTAAAGGAAAAGTTGAATGTAAATGTTAATGTTACTGTTAAAGTCATGAGAATAGATGGATTACTTTCAGGGAGAAACAAAAAGCCTTGGATTTATTAATTACAAGTCAGTTCTTTTTGCATCCCAAGATTTTTTTTTAATGAAGGATGAATACCGGCACATAATAGCATGGTAATATAATTTATAGCATGGATTATGATCATTCTTTGAGCAATTTTTTTTTACGTTGACAAACTTTTATTTTATTCAGTTATTTATATGTGGTGCTGAGAATGAAACTCAGTGCCTCACACATGCTAGGCAAGCGCTCTACCACTGAACTACAACCCCAGCCCTCTTTGAACAGTTTTTGTACTTTATTCTATGATCTAGTTGATATTCTTCATCATTTACACTTACAGTTTAATTTGAATATAGGCAACCTGCCCAGGACTTCTTTCTTTTCTTTGGGAAAAYTTTAAATACATACAAAAATAGAATACTATTTTTTAAAAAATTTCATATCCTCATAACCCATCTTCATCAATTATAGCTCATTGCCTTTTTTTTTTACCTCTATCCATGTCTATCTCTATTTTCTCTCTTCTTAGATTCATATCATTTCATATGTAAATATTTTGGTGTATCTTTTTTTTTCCTCTGTGTTACTGAGGATCAAACCAGGACCTTACACAGGCTAGGCAAGTGCCCTATCGTTGAGCTACCTCCCAACCCTTTTTATATTATGTTGACAGRGTCTTGCTAAATCATCCAGGCTGATTTTGAATTTGTGATCCTCCTGCTTCAGACTCCTGAATAGATGAGATTATAGGTGTGTGCTGCCAGGACTGCTCTATTTTGGTGTATCTCTAAAGACCCTTTAAAAAATGTAATCGTTTAAAGTGTCTCTTAAGTTTCTTTTCTTTTTTTTTTTTTTGATCTGTAAATTCCTCCCTTCCTTTTTTTAAAAAAAATTTTAAAAAATTTGTTCTTTTTAGATATACATGACAGTAGAATGTATTTTGACATATTATACATATATGGAGTATAACTTCCCATTCTTGTGGTTGTACAAGATGTGGAGTTAGACTTGTTGTGTATTCATATATACACATAGGAAAGTTATGTCGGATTCATTCTACTGTCTTTCCTATTCCCATCCTCCTCTTTTTCTCATTCCCTTTTGTCTAACCCAATTAATTTATATTCTTCCCTCCCTGCTCCCTTATTGTGTGTTAGCATCTGCATATCAGAGAGAGCATTCAGCCTTTGGTTTTGGGGGATTTGCTTCTTTCACATAGCATGATAGTCTTCAGATCCATATATTTACTGGCAAATACCACAATTCCATTCTTTTTTTTATGGCCAAGTAATATTTCATTTTGTGTACACACACACACACACACACACACACACCCACATTCTCTTTATCCATTTATCTGTTGAAGGGAACCTAGGTTGGTTCATACCTTAGCTATTGTGAATTGAGGCACTATAAACATTGATGTGGTTGCATCACTTTAATATGCTGATTTTAAGTCCTTTGGGTATATATTGAGTAGTGGATTACTGGGTCAAATGGTGATTGCATTCCACGTTTTCTGAATCATCTCCATACTGCTTTCCAGAGTGGTTGCACCAATTTGCAGTCCCACCAGCAATGTATGAGTGTATCGTTATCCTCACCAACGTTTATTGTTGCTTGTATTCTGTATAATTGCCATTCTGATTGGAGGGAGATGAAATCTCAGTGTGGTTTTTTTGTAGTTGTTGTTGTTCTAGAGCTTGAACTCAGGGAACTTGACCACTGAGCCACATCCCCAGCCCTATTTTGTATTTTATTTAGAGACAGGATCTCACTGTCTGAGTTGCCTAGTGCCTCGCTTTTGCTTTGAACTCTCGATCCTCCTGTTTCAGCCTTTTGAGCCACTGGGATTACGACTGCACCAGGTCCTCAGTATAGTTTTAATTTGCATTTCTCTAATTGCTAGTGATGTTGAACATTTTTCCATATATTTGTTGACCATTCATATTTCTCCTTCTGTGAAGTGTCTATTCAGTTTCTTTGCCCATTTATTTATTGGTCATTTGTTTTTTTTGGTGTTAAGTTTTTTGAGTTCCTTATATATCCTGGAAATTAATGCTCTATTTGAGGCACAGGTGRCAAAGATTTTCTTCCATTCTTAGGCTCTCTGTTCATGTTCTTTATTGTTTCCTTTGCTATGATGAAGCTTTTTAGTTTGATACTATCTCATTTATTGATTCTTGATTTTATTTCTTGCAGTTTAGAAGTCTTATTGAGAAATTCAGTTCCTAAGCCTATATGATGGAGATTTGGGCCTGCATTTTCTTCTAGTAGACACAGGGTCTGTGGTCAATACCTAGGTCCTTTATCCACTTGAGTTGAGTTTTGTGCAGGGTGAAAGATAGCATAGAAATTTCATTTTAAAAATCTAGTTTGAGCCTGGTGTGGTGGCGCATGCCTTTAATACCAGTGACAGGAGGCTGAAGCAGGAGGATCACAGGTTGGAATCTAGCCTCAGTAACTTAGCAAGGTTATAAGCAATCTCATGAGACCTTGTCTCAAAATAAAACATTTAAAAAGGGGTAGGCTGTGCCTCAGTGGTTAAGCATCCTTGGGCTCAAGAATCTATTTTGGTTTTAAAATAATGTACAAGACTTTTATAGTTCCAAAACCAAATCTGCAAAAGAAGTTCTATCTGAGAAATTTAGCTTCTCTTCCTGTCTATCCTATCTTTCTTCCCTATTGTAGTAATTTAAAAAAAAGCTTAGCCAGGCACGGTGGCACATATCTGCAATCCCAGTAGCCCTGGAGGTTGAAGCAGGAGGAGCTCAAATTCAAAGCCAACCTCAGCAATTTAGCAAGACCCTGTGTCAAAATTTAAAAAAGAAAAAAAAATTAAAATTTATAAAAGCGTTGGGAATTTGGCTCAGTGGGTGAGCAATCTCTGGTACAAAAGTAAGTAAATAAATAAATAAACATAAATAAAAATTGGCCAGTTGCGATGGCTCACACTTGTAATCCAGGTGGCTGGGGAAGCTGAGGCAGGAGGATCATGAGTTCAAAATCAGTTTCAGCAAAAGTGAGGTGCTAAACAACTCAGTGAGCCCCTATCTCTAAATAAAAATACAAAATAGGGCTGGGGATGTGTCTCACTGGTCAAGTGCCCCTAAGTTCAATCCCCGGTACCAAAAATAATTTTTAAAAATTAAAGTAAATAAAAATTGTGCCTATGACCTAATTCTTTAGTTCCATAAAAATCTAAAATTTTTAGTATATGTACATGTATTTGTACACACATGCACTTGCACATATATACATATAGCTATTTATCTGAGTATATACTGACGGATTTGTATTTGTGTTTGTATTAATATTTGCCACCCCCTGACTTTAAATAAATGTTACATACCAGATACGCACTTCTTCCACCTTCATTTTTTCACTTAGTATATCCTGGAGGTCAGAGTTAGGAATTTTTAATTCTTGTTTTAGTACTAATGCTGACAATTTAATGAACTTTCAAACAAGGGCTGTTTTTTGACCTTCAAAATGGTAATGAGCATATTCTGCCTTTCCTCTGGGATTATTTTAAAGATAAGTCATGCAGAGCATGTTAATGTGTTTTTGAAAAGTTAACTTATCTATGTAGAATTGTTATTAGTTTTAGAAATGAGAGGCACAGAGAGACTTATGTCATTTACTTAAGATTTTTCTTAGAGATAAGGCTAAAGTTCTGCATAGATTTTGTATTTATATTTTTCACTCTACCAAGTATGTTATTTGCTTGACATTAAACTTTGTGCTCAGCGGGGAAATAATATCTTCTTAGTTCTTAATTTAATATTGAGGTTAATTTTGAGACAAAAAAATACTCTTCAGAGACATATATTATTAAAGGATTAATTAACAAGTGTCCTTTCATTTTTTATTGATTATTTTTAGTTTTGCATGACAGTAGCATTCATTTTGACATTATTATACAAGCAAGGAATATATCTTATTCTATTAGTACCCCATTCTTATAGATGCACACAATGGTGGGATTTACTATGGTGTATTCACATATGTATTCATTCTGTGATTTGTACATAGGAAAATTATTTTGGATTCATTCCATTTTCTTTCCTTTTCCTATCCCTCTCCCTTCCCTTCATTCCCCTTTGTCTAATCTACTGAATGTCTATTCTTCCTGTCTCTTGCTTTATTGTGGTTTAGCTTCMACATATCAGCAAAAACATTCATCCTTTAGCTTTTTGGGACTGGCTTATTTCACTTAGCATGATAGTCTCCAGACTCATCTATTTACTTGCAGATGTCATAAAGTCATTCTTCTTCATGGCTCAGTAGTACTCCCTTGTGTATATATGCCACATTGTCTTTATACGTTCATCTGTTAAATTTATTACTTATTATTTTAAAAAATAGTAAGTAATATATGCTAAGGAGTATATACATTTCAAAACAAAGAAACAAAAATGAGAAAGGCATCCATGATCTCACCGCAAGTTTAACCTTATGAGTGATTTGTACATAATTCCATAATTTTATCTCTGTGTGTGTTGAGCATAGAAATAAGGGAACTGTTGAGCACTCTCTATACCTAAGAAWTGTACAAGAGGGCTTTGGTGAATTTCAGAAGGAATAGAAGATGTAGTTTGTGCCCTTGAAGTATTTCTATTATGCACTCTATGAATCTACCCTTGTTCCCTTTGTATATAAAAATAGTTCAGCAGTGGCAAAAGAAAGAATTAGACTTTGAAGAGTGAAATAAGAAATCAAGATTCTAGCCTCAGTAACTTAGCAAGGCTATAAGCAATCTCATGAGACCTTGTCTCAAAATAAAAACATTTAAAAAAGGTGTTAGCTGTGCCTCAGTGGTTAAGCATCTTGGGAAAGTCATTTAACCCCTCTGAATTAATTTTCTCACTGATAGTTGCCCTTCGTTTCGTAGAGTTGGTATGGTCAATTTTGGGGATATCATTTACATGAAACTGCTTAGTGATGTTTAATGGAAACTGTTAATGCTGAAAACAAGTCAAACACCTCTATTGGATGATCCATCTGATCAATACATTTTAAAATTGACATGTTTTTGAGAAGTAAGGATATGAGACACAGGATTATCACAAATGCCTTAATAATTCTCACTAGTAGAATTCAACATGTTGATAAGTTAGTGAGAAAGGTGATGGATTTGTGTTTACAACCAATACATTCATATTTTGGAGTTAGGTTCTGGTGGTTGCTAACTTGCATAAAGTGGTGAAATACATGGTTTCAGAGAAGAATGAATGTTGTTTGTTTGCTTAAATATAGGATCTATTTGGAAAATCAGACCCATACCTGGAGTTTCACAAACAGACATCTGATGGAAACTGGCTGATGGTTCATCGAACAGAGGTAAATATCTGAAACTAAAAGTAGAGAGAAATTTTTCTTTGGAATTGTAGTAATCTGAATTTTAAAAAATTATATGTTAATAAAAATATTAATTTGAGTTCAGACTTTTTGCAGCCAGAGATACAAGGTTAATATGCTCACTATTTTTTTATTTTAATGAAGCATTGCTGACATTCTTAATTATTTTTATTTTGAAAAACTTAAAACACTATAAAGAACACTAAATGTGTTCCTGAGTACCCCTCATCAGTTGGTCTTACTTGGACACATTTGTATTCTTTCTTTCTCTCTCTCTCTTACATGTGTACATGCATATACACTTATACACAAATATATTTCTCTTTTGCAAAACCATCCTCATGTAGGCTATATACGTCATGATCTTCACTGTTGATATAGTAACATCATTCAATAAACCCTTCATACACATATTTCCTCAGTTGTCCCACATGTTTGATATAAAAATTAAAAAAAAAATATATATATATATATATTTTGATCCAGGATCCAGTGAAAGCTCATGTTTTGCATTTGGCTATTATGTTCCCAGTATAAGACTTTTTGTTTATTTCTCTGTACCTTCATGCCATTGGATCTCATGAATAATTAAGACCAGATTGTCTAACATGCTGGATTCTTCTCTTTTTACACAACTAGATCTAGATCAGACATTTCTTTCAAAAACACTACATGTGTACCTTTCTTTGAATCATCAGGGAACTTGTAGTGCCTGGCTGCCCAATATTTATGGGGCCAGGCCTGCCTACTTGGTTAAGCTAGAAATCATGAGATTTTTGCCACCATTAAGTTCTGTTTTTTCCCTTTGAAATCAATAGGTTGTGTGTAGTATGATACTTTGGGACCAGATGAATTGTTTCTTCTCTCACATTTTACCCAGTGGTTTCTATATCCATTGATGATCCTAGCTTGAATCAGTTATATCAGGGACTATAAAATAGTGACTTTATTTTTTCTGAAGTTTTTATTCTTTTACCCACATTAGCAGCATTCCTCTTTTAACTTTTTGCTCTAATGACTTCTGGGTTCTTTTAACATGACCCTATTTCTTTAACCATTCTCTTTTCTCTCTCTCTCTCTCTCTCTCTCTCTCTCTCTCTCTCTCAAATATTTTTTATTTGTTAATGGATCTTTTATTTCATTTATTTATATGTGGTGCTGAGGATCGAACCCAGGGCCTCACACATGCCAAGTGAGTGCTCTACCACTGAGCTACAACTCCAGCCCTAATCATTCTCTCTTTTTTTTTATGATAGAGTATGTTCTTAGTTTATACTGCCCTAAAGCTGGGATAAAGCAGTTCTTTGAAATAACTCTATTCCTATAAAAGGTGGTATTATTTATACACCAAGATTAGAGTGCTAGACATGCTCATTGATACTAGGATGTCATTATTTTTAGACCTTTTCAATGGGAAATATGTTTATTTGTGTATATCAGTTTATTATATATGTAAATATGGTATTAGAATTTCTAACTTGTGAATTTTAACTGATTTCTCCAATTCAAATCTAATAGAGCAAGTTTTGTTCTACCTTTTATTATTTCATATTGAAATCTTTTGTGCACAGCAATGAAACTCTTAGTTTCCAACAAAATCAGTAGGCTGCAGCTTGGTGCATAAGTTTCATCAATATCTTCTTTTCTCAGAATTTACTATGATTAGACAATTTATTATAATTTTCATATAACTATTATATATTATTATCCTAGCTAGTTTTCATTGAAATAGTTGAATGGGTRAGAAGGTGAGGGATGAATTATGAGAATATAGGAAGAACCTTGGACAGGAAAGAGTTAAATGTTAATGAACTGGATGTTATCCTAATGGAACCTTCCACCTTCATCTTTATAGGTTATTAAAAATAACCTGAATCCTGCTTGGAAGCCTTTCAAAATTTCTCTTAACTCCCTGTGCTATGGAGATATGGACAAAACCATTAAGGTAATTTGAAGTTATATATAGATGCTCCTTGACTTACTTTGGGGCTATGTCCTAATAGAGCCATTGTAAATTGAAAATAAGTTTGGCTGGGGGTATAAGCTCAGTGGTAGAACATGTGCTTAGCATGCATGAGACTCTGGGTTCAATTTCCAGCACCAAAAGAAAAAAAGAAGRAGAAAAATCTAATAAGTTAAAAACACATTTAATACAACTAACTTTCCCAATATCATAGCTTAGCAACATAGTACACTGTAGAGTCTTGGTTGTTTACGTTGGTGGTCATGTGGCTGATTGGGAGCTGTGGCTCGCTGCCACTACTCAACATTGCAAGAGAAAGAATCTTATGTATCACTAGACCAGGAAAAGATCAAAATTCAGAACTGAAAATATAGTTTCCACTGAATACAAATCACTTTTGCACCATAGTAAAGTTTAAAAATCATAAGTTGCACCATCGTAAGTTAAGGATTATCTGTATAGAATACATACACAAATGTGTTCATGTTCACTTTTTATAAAATAAATATATGAGTTAATATTTTAAAAAAGTAAATGATATAACACATACTGTAAGAGCTGAATTTTACATATCTAATACTATTAAAAAATGTTTCCTGGTTAGTAAAAGAGTTGGTTTGAAGGAGTAGGCATGTGTGACTAATCTGTCATCCTGATGCTTCATCGTAATTTCCATCTTATTCTCGATTTTTAATAAAATATTCAATTTAATTTAAAAAAAATTTTTTTAGTTGTAGGAGGATACAATACCTTTATTTTGTTTATTTATATGTGGTGCTGAGGATTGAACCTAGTGCCTCACATGTGCTAGGCGAGCACTTTACCACTGACCCACAATCCAGCCTTGCTTTTTTCTTTTAATAATTTTTTTCCCTTTGTGAATAGAGCCTTTAACTACATTCTTTGCCTTCAATGTATCTCTTGAGATAAAAAACAGATGTTAAACCTTATTAAGAATCTAGAGATTCCTCCTCTATTACTAACGAAGGAACATAATAGTGGCATTGCTGTCCTTATTTTTAGGGTAAGATGTAATTCATTGAAGACTTCAAATGACTTTAGTATGATATTTCAGTGTATTTTTTCCCTTTAAATTTTATTCATAGGCATTGAACAAAAAAAACCCAACATAACAAACAAAAATCTATATATTTAAGATACTTTTTTTTCTAGAGTCATTATTTTTAAATGATTCCATATAGAAATTTTCTTATGTTCAGAGATCAATAGACCATAATTTTAGTTGATGTGTTTTTATTTTTCTTTTTGTAATTAATATAGTGAGAGAAGGAAAGGTAATGTTGTGAACACTATAGAATTTGGAGTTAGGCCACAGTTTAAGTTTTGATGTAGCACTGTAACCAAGTAAGGGATGTTGAGCAGGTCACCTAAGTTGTTCACTTATATGATGGAGATAATAATTTCTACCATACAAAAAAGTAAAGATAAAATAATAAAAGTGAAAATTTTGTAAACTGTAAAACATATAGAGATGCCATTATTGTTGAAAACTGCTTCATTTCTGAGATACATAAGGAGTGCTTCCCAGTTTGTAGAGAACTTAAAAAATCAGTATTAGGTATGATTTGTATGGTATGTCAAGTAGCAATGAAAATCTAGGTATAATATAAATAGTAGAAAAGTAGCTATAAAATTTAATTTTCATTGTTAGACCAAATCCAGGACTTTTGCTTTTCACATTAAAAATGGTATGAATCATTAGATCTGAGAAGGTAGGAGATTCTGGGGAAAAAAATGCCTAAACCATTACTATTTGATTGCTTGTAATGAGATGTTAACAGTGAAACAATGTTTCTAAACTTTTTTGCTCACAGTGGCATGCTTACAGAGTTATTTTATTATAGTAAGTAAACTAATTTCTAAGTTTTGTCTGATCAATGTCTTCCATTCTTAAAAGTTTCTCTGTCTTTGATTATACAAAACCACATAGTCACTCACTTTATTTCTCTAGTTCTCTATTTCTTTGTGATATCAAGTGGTCATACAACTGTGATTCACTTACTGTTGGGAAATTTCTTAGAAGCATAGTAAAGGACTATAGAGCAGAGAAATAAAGTCATAATCCTTAATAGTCTCTTTGGTGTAATGTGTTATCACTCTAGCATGTATTACTTCCATAAGATGAAGAGAATAAGAGATATAATCATGCATGCTACCACCTTGCCTAAAATGGAATGCCATAGCGAATGTATCATTGTGTGGTGTGTGCATTCTTCTAAATATATACATATGCATATATGTATATATACACATATGTTTGAACGTCACAAATTCTGCTAATAGTGTTGTTCAAATAGCCAAAAATACTGGTCTTTGAATTCTTAAGAAGGGAGAAATTAAATGATATAAATCATCCGACTAAAAACTGTTTTTGAATGTATGCCAGCATTTTTAAATGTTGTGTCTGCCTTCAAAGGGTYAAAATGGAGTTTTTCCCACCTAGTATTGTAGGGAGTAATCAGAACTTTTAATTTAAAAATGTTTTTATATTTCTTGAAGTTTTAGTCAGCCTAAATGTATTTACAGTTAAATATAATCCTGGCTTTGTAAGGTTTGTTTAAATAAAAATTTGGCTTTAGTAAAGTTTAATCTTGCTTAGATTTAAATTTGTSTTTCCTGAAAGCAAATCTAAAATGTCAAGTTCCCTTTTGCATAGTTAATAAATGTCTGATAAAAAATCTTATTAAAATATTAAGATAGTTTGTTTTCTGCTTTGTTGAAATTTAATTCCTTTAGAAAAAAATCATTGTTTTAAATTTTCTTTTTTCTTGAAAGATTATAGTTGAACAAAGGGCTTTTGGTTTAAAAATTGGATATTGAATATGTAGAGCAAGAGTCTGTCAGACTTGATTAGTGATTAAAGTGTCTGTAAAGCATTTTTAAAAAAATTTTAATTTGTTATATATGACAACAGAATGCATTACAATTTATATTACACATATAGAGCACAATTTTTCATATCTCTGGTTGTGTCTTCATAAATGTACTTAAGGTAATGATGACCATTGCATTCCACCTTCTTTCCTACTCCTGTGCCTCCTCCCTTCCCCTTTTTCCCTTTGCCCTATCTAGAGTTCATTTAATCCTCCCACCCCCCAACAGCATACTATGGATCAGTATCCTTAAATCAGAGAAATCATTTGGCATTTGGTTTTGGGATTGGCTAATTTCACTTAGCATTATATTTTCCAGCTCCATCCATTTAACTGCAAATGCCATGATTTTATTCAMTTTTAATGCTGAATAATATTCCATTGTGTATATGTACCACCTTTTCTTTATCCATTCATCTACTGAAGGACATCTAGGTTGGTTCCTCAGTTTAGCTATTGTGAATTGTGTTGCTATAAACATTGATGTGGCTGTGTCCCTGTAGTATGCTGTTTTTAAGTCCTTTGGATATAGACTGAGGAGAGGGAGAGCTGGGTAAAAAGGTGGTTCCATTCCCAGTTTTCCAAGGATTCTCCATATTGCTTTCCATAATGGCAGTACCACTTTGCAGTCTCACCAGTAATGTATGAGTGTGCCTTTTCCTCCACATCCTTGCCAACACTTGTTTGTATTCTTAATAGCTGCCATTCTGACAGGAGTAAGGTGAAATTTTAGAGTAGTTTTGATTTACATTTCTCTAATTGCTAGAGATGTTAAACATTTTTTAATATATTTGTTGATTGATTGTATATCTTCTTTGGAGAAGTCTGTTCAGTTCCTTGGCCCATTTGTTGATTGGGTTATTTGTTTTTTTGGTGTTAAGATTTTTGAGTTCTTTATGTATTCTAGAGATTTGTGCTCTATCTGATGTGTGTGTGGTAAGAATTTTTTCCCAATTAGTAGGCTCTCTATTCACCTCACAGATTGTTTATTTTGCTGAGAAGAAGCTTTTTAGTTTGAATCCATCCCATTTGTTGATTCTTGATATTAATTCTTGTGCTATAGGAGTCTTTTTAAGGAAGTTGGGGCCTATTCCGACATGATGGAGATTTGGGCCTACTTTTTCTTCTGATAGACACAGTGTCTTTGGTTTAATTCCTAGGTTCTTGACCCACTTTGGGTTGAGTTTTGTGCATGTTGAAAGATAGGGTTTTAATTTCAATTTGTTGCATATGAATTTCCAATTTTCCTAGCACCATTTGTTGAAGAGGCTATACWTTCTCCAATGTACATTTTTGGTGCCTTTATCACATGTAAGATAACTGTAATTATGTCGGTTAGTCTCTGTGTCCTCTATTCGGTACCATTGGTCTACCAGTCTATTTTGTTGCCAATACCATGCTTTTTTTCTTACTAGTGCTCTGTAGTTTAGTTTAAGGTCTGGTATAATGATGCCASCTGCTTCAATATTCTTGATAAGGATTACTTTAGCTAATCTGGGTCTCTTATTTTTCCAGATGAATTTCATGACTGCTTTTTCTATTTCTATGAGGAATGTCATTGAGATTTTGATTGGAATTGCATTAAATCTGTATAGTGCTTTAGGTGGTATGGCCATTTTGACACTATTAATTCTGCCTATCCAAGAACAAGATATATCTTTCCATCTTTTAAGGTCTTCTTTAATTTTCTTTCTTTAGCGTTTTGTAGTTTTCATTGTAGAGGTCTTTCACCTCTTTCATTGATTCCCAAGTATTTTATTTTTTTGATGCTATTGTAAATGGAGTAGTTTTCCTCATTTCCCTCTCAGATGATTTGTCACTGACATACAGAAATGCCTTTGATTTATGGGTGTTGATTTTGTATCCTATTACTTTGCTGAATTCTTTACTAGTTCCAGAAGTTTTCTGGTRGAATTTTTTKGGGTCTTCTAGGTATAGAATCATATGGTTATACCTAGAAGAACTCAAAATAGTGCTAATTTGAGTTCTTCTTTACCTATTTTTATCCCTTTAAATTCTTTCCTCTGTCTAATTGCTCTAGCCAGTGTTTCAAGAACTATGTTAAATTGAAGTGGTGAAAGAGGGCATCCCTATCTTGTTCCGGTTTTTAGAGGGAATACCTTCAATTTTTCTTCATTTAGAATGAGGTTGACCTGGGGCTTTGCATAGATCGCTTTTACGATGTTGAGATATGTTCCTGTTATCCCTAATTTTTCTAGTGTTTTGAACATGAAAAGGTGCTGTATTTTGTTGAAGGCTTTTTCTGCATCTATTGAGATAATCTTATGGTTCTTATCTTTAAGTCTATTGATGTGATGAATTACATTTATTGATGTCCATATGTTGAACCAACCTTGCATCCCTAGTACACCCACTTGATCATGGTGAACTATCTTTTTGATATGTTTTTGTATTCAATTTGCCAGAATTTTATTGAGAATTTTTATACCTATGTTCATTAGAGATATTTGTCTGAAGTTTTCTTTTTTTGATGTGTCTTTGCCTGGTTTTGGAATCAGGGTGATATTGGCCTCACAGAATGAGTTTGGAAGTGCTCCCTCTTGTTCTATTTCCTGAAATAAATTGGAGAGTATTGGTATTAGTTATTCTTTAAATGTCTTGTGGAACTTGGCTATGTATCCTTCCGGTCCTGGGCTTTTCTTGGTTGGTAGGCTTCTGATGGCATCTTCTATTTCATCTCTTGAAATTGATTTGTTTAAATTGTGTATATAATACTGATTCAATTTGGGCAAATCATATGACTCTAGAAATTTGTTGATGCCTTTGATATTTTCTATTTTATTGGAGTAAAAGTTTTCAGAGTAATTTCTAATTATCTTCTGTATTTCTTTAGTTTTTGTTGTGATATTTCTTTTTTCATCATGTATGTTACTAATTGAGTTTTCTCTTTCCTCTTCGTTAACATGGCTAAGGGTCTGTCAATTTTATTTATTTTTTCAAAGAACCAACTTTTTATTTTGTCAGTTTTTCAATTGTTTCTATTTCACTGATTTCAACTCTGATTTTAATTATTTCCTGTCTTCTGCTTTTGGTGTAGATTTGTTCTTCTTTTTCTAGGGTTTTGAGATGTAATGTTAAGTCATTTATTTGTTGACTTTTTTTTTTCTTTTAAGGAATGAACTCCATGCAGTTAACGTTCCTCTTAGAACTGCCTTCATAGTCTTAGAGATTTCTATATGTTGTATCTGTTTTCTCATTCACCTCTAAAAATTTTTTAATCTTCTCCTTGATGTCTTCTGTAACCCATTGTTTATTCARTAATATGTTATTTAGTCTCCAGGTGTTGGAGTAGCTTTTATTTCTTATTTTATCATTGATTTCTAATTTCATTTCATTATGATCTGATAGAATGTAGGGTAGCATCTCTCCTTTTTTTATATTTGCTAAGAGTTGCTTTGTGGCATAATATATGGTCTATTTTAGAGAAGGATCTATGTGCTGCTAAGAAGAAAGTATCTTCCCTTGTTGAAGGATGAAATATTTTATATATGTCAGTTAAATCTAAGTTATTGATTGTATTATTGAGTTCTCTAGTTTCTTCAGCTTTTGTTTGGAAGATCTATCCAGTGGTGAAAGAGGGGTGTTAAAGTTACCCAAAATTATTGGGTTGTGGTCTATTTGACTCTTGAACTTGAGAAGAGTTTGTTGATTAACATAGGTGCTCTATTGTTTAGAGCATATATATTTATAATTGTTAAGTCTTGTTGGTGTATGGTTCCCTTGAGCAGTGTGTGGTGTCCTTCTTTATCCCTTTTGATTAACTTTGGCTTGAAGTCTACTTTAGTTTGACATGAGGATGGAAACCCCTACTTGCTTCCACAGTGAGTGGTATGCTTTTTCCCAACCTTTTCACCTTCAGTCTGAGGATATCTTTTCCTATGAGATGAGTCTCTTGGAGGCAGCATATTGTTGGGTCTTTTTTTTTTTGATCCAGTCTGCTAGTCTATATCTTTTGATTGGCGAGTTTAGGCCATTAACGTTCAGGGTTATTATTGAGACATGGTTTGTATTCCCAGCCATTTTTGGTATATAACTTGACATGGTTTCTCTTCTGATTAGTTTTTCCTTTAGTGCAATCCCTCTTTCTTCTTACTTTCATCACTGTTTTTTATTTCCTCTTCTTGGAATATTTTGCTCAGCATGTTCTGAAGTGCAGGCTTTCTAGCTGTAAATTCTTTTAACTTTTGTTTATCATGGAAGGTTTTTATTTCATCATCAAATCTCAAGCTTAATTTTGCTGGAAATAAGATTCTTGGTTTGCATCCATTTTCTTTCAGAGCTTGATATATGTTGTTCCAGGATCTTCTAGCTTTCAGGATCTGGGTTGAAAAATTTGTACATATTCTAATTAGTTTCCCYCTATATGTAATCTGATTCCTTTCTCTTGTGGCTTTTAATATTCTCTCCTTATTCTGTATGTTAGGCATTTTCATTATAATGTGCCTTGGTGTAGATCTGTTATAATTTTGTACACTTGATGTCCTGTAAGTCTCTTGTATTTGGTTTTCCAATTCATTCTTTGTGCTTGGGAAATTTTCTGATATTATCTCATTGAAGAGATTGTGCATTCCTTTGGTTTGAAACTCTGTGCCTTCCTCTATCCCAATAACTCTTAGAGATTTGGACTTTTGATGCTGTCCCATAAGTTTGGATGTTCTGTTCATGGTTTCTTACTATCTTCACTGTGTGGTCAACTTTATTTTCCTGATTGTATATTTTGTCTTCATTATCTGACATTCATTCTTCCAAGTGATCTAGTTGCTTATGCTTTCTATTGAGTTTTTTATTTGGTTTATTGCTTTCTTCATTTCAAGGATTTCTGACTTTTTTTTTGGCGGGGGGAGAATCTCTATCTCTTTCTTGAAGTAATATTTTGCGACCTGTATTTGCTCTTTGTTGGAGTGATCAATTTTTGCTTGTATTTGCTCATTTAGGTCCTTCTTTAATTTACAGATCATTTTAATTATGAACCTTCTAAACTCCTTCTCTGACATTTCATCAACTTCACTGTCCATGAGTTCTGTTATTGTAGTATCCTTGTTTGTTTGGGGCACTTTCCTCCCTCTTTTTTTGTTTCCATGTTGTCTATGTATCTTCCTTTCTTGCAGTTTCTACCCTATTATTCTTATAGTACCCTGGGCATTTTAACTTTGTGGTTGTGCAGATTATCTGTACCTCGCCTTGATGTTGGGCTTCCAGACCCTGCTGGTGACCCTCAATGTATGTTACTGCAACTAAAGGTGGTGGCAGCAATAGGGGAGGTAACTCGAGAGGGCAGTGGAGGTGCCCCAAGATGGATACAATGTCTTACAGAGATGGAGCTGAAATGGTGGGCCTTACACTTTCTTTGGGATGCTTGCTCTGATATGCATCTGCTTTTAGGCCCTGACTGTTGTCGAAAGGGAGGGGCTCCGGTGTGGGGAGGGCTATGGCGATGTCTGCAGTTTCCTAAGATGGAAGTGGGTTAGGCTTGGGCTCTCAGGTGGGGAGTGTGGTGGTGGCAAACTCAGACCTACCCTGGGCCTGGGCCCTGTGCAGGTAGGTGTGGGAAGATCTGGGCTGGGCCTCAGTTCCCAAGGTGGTCTCTGTCAAGCATTTCTTAAACAAATGCCTTACTACTGCTCACAGTTAACAGTTCTAGAACTTGCTTGTTTTGATTGATTGATGTTTAGAGTTAACAAGAATAATGAAAATACAAGTAAGGAATAAAAGACGTCCACTCATGATGAACACTCGTGTATAGAACTGAGAAGAAAAATAATCATTTTGCCAAGCGAACATATAAAAATTCTGGACATTTTAACTTTGTGACTAGTATAACTTTGTGGATAGTAGCAAGTTGGAGCTCTCAATTGGCTGAAGGCAAATGCAAGTTCCTTCTCATTTATAAGCTTTGATTTTGAGGCACGGACTCCAGAAGTTTTTAGAAGTGTCCTCAGCACAGTTTTGGTTTACCTKTGTTGGTAACCACACAGGCATACCATGTTCTAAGACTTTTTATTTAATTCCTCCAAGTTTCAGTTCTGTAAAATGGTAATAATAGTGAGAGGATTCTTAATCCAACTACCTCACAAGGCTATTTAGAGAATGTGCACCTTTCACATAATAAATGTTCACAGAAATGAAATAACCTATTTTGAATATGAAGTACTATAAAGCATTGGTGTTGAATGTTCACAACCATTATGGTCAGTTTTGAGCTTCTCTTGAACACTTCTGCTTGCTAATAGATCACACCCTCTTATTTTTCTCATTGGAAAGAGTATTTTAGTGTTCTGTTAATTGTTTACATTGTAGTTACATCCATCAACTCAATATAAAACTACGCATAAATCAAATACTTTCCCCTCTCTTCTCTGCTTTGGGGTTGGGGGGAGGACAGTAGGTGCACATTTAATAAGAGCCAGATTAAGATTAGAGCTCACTCTGTTTTGATGCAGGAATGGAGTAAATATGACCTGGGACAGATAACTTCCCTCAGTGGGCTCAGGACTTTTTCTCTTTATTTTGAGAGTTGTGACTCTCAGAATGATGCACATCTGACTAACCTCTCCAGATTGTACTTAATGAAATATATTTTTCCATAATTCTAAATTATCTAGGACTTGTATAATTTTTAGCTGCCTAGGATATTAACTTCCTTTCTTTCTCTAGATAATGGCTTCTAGCCATTGTATAGTGATAACAAGGTAAAAAAGCRGATGAGCAAGAAGATGTAATTCCATTTTACTTTTTATCAGTTTTTATAGAGGGTATGAAAGAGGGGCTGAAAACTTCTTAATGTGGAATTTGAACAGTCTTTGTGTTTTGTCATCTGCTTGCGATCTATCTTAGTGCCCCATTTCAAGGATAGCTGGGGTCAATGGGACATTTTTGATAGGTCACATTTATTGCCATCAGTACTTTTTAATGAAATTATATTGATTCATTTATTATACTTAATTCCAGGTAGAATGTTATGATTATGACAATGATGGATCACATGATCTCATTGGAACATTTCAAACGACCATGACAAAACTGAAAGAAGCCTCCAGAAGCTCACCTGTAAGTTATGTCTTTGAATTTATATATACTATATAGTTTTGCTGTGTATTTATTATTTTATTTTATTTTTCTTGGCATAGCAAACAGTTTAACCATGTTTTTTCCCTGTATTGCGTAATGCTCTAAAATCAATGGAATTTTTTTGTTTGCTAGTTTAATAATCAGGTAGTCCAAAATTTATATTTGAATTTTGTTGAGCATAACACCATGGGATGATTTACTAATGCCAGTTGAGGACTCTAGCTATGGAAGAAAGCAAGGATCATCATGATGTCAGTCATTTATAGTGGAAGTCCAAACACTTTGCCCATTGTACTTTGGAAAGGTTCAATGATTCCAGAATCAGGAAATAACCTACTTTTATAAGACAATGACCTAACACTGTATATTGAGAAAAGGTAGAGCAAGGTCAGCTTTCATAGTAGGTGTCAGTCCCCCAGAGCCAGCAGGTCCTTTCTGGCTGCCAAATCAAGGCCATTTTCTGTGTGTGCTTTTGTGAATGGTCTCTGCCTCTCCCCTGAGGAGTCTAGAATACTGAGAGGCAGGGATGGGCCTGATTGCCATTGACCCCGAGGCTTAAGTAGCACGACGGAGCCCTCGTTGAGTATGAAACTGGGAAGAGTATTTCCACATAGGCGATAAGCCCAGTATCAGCTTTAAGGACTCTCATGTTAAAGTAAAGAATTATTCTAGGCCCAGGGTTCATTCTGAAATGGCCAAGGTTGTATCAAAAGCTCTTGTGCTTGAGACTGCCTTTCTCACCAAGTTACATTTATGTTTAGAGGTTTCATTTCCTTTTGTTTAAGACAGCACACATAATTTGATCAAAAGTCCTTTGCTTAAGGCTTTTTGCATTTCACTAGTCACAATGGTTAATATCTGTTATGCCAGACAAGTGCCTGGACTTGAATTGTATACACTTATGCTACTTTTGCATGGTCTCTTACAGTTGGCTTGCCTTTGATTTGTCCTTACATACAGGGAGGACAAAAGCTTAGTTCATGATGCTTCAGATGACTTTTATTAAGATCATTTGATGCCTGGGTATGGTGGCATATACCCGTAATCCCAGCAGCCGAGAGGCTCTCATAGGAGGATTGCAAGTTTAAAGCCAGCTTCCTCAACTTAGCAAGGCCGTAAGCAACTTAGGGAGACCCTGTCTCTAAATAAAAAAAATATTTAAAAAGGGCTAGGGATATAGCTTAGTAGTTAAGAGCCCCTGGGTTCAATTCCTGGTACCAAGTGGGGGGCACTATCATTTGACTACTTTAACTATATTCAGTTTAGCATCTTAACTTACGCATTAGAGTAAAAAAAACTGAAACTTTCTGTCTCTACACTAATGTGGCCGTAAGGACACTACTCCAGAGTGTTTTATTTACCCTTCTACTTTGAGTAAGTAGTTAATTCTCTTTGTAGCTTACTTGAACAGAATAATACGAATTGTTTATTAGCTTCTTAGAGACATGAGTAATGCTCATGTATGTAACATCTACTTTTGAAAATACAAACATGGTGTTTGAGAGAAAAAAGATTACAGCTAGGTGAGAAGGTCTTATTACCTAGTCATCTAAGAGAGGTGAGTTAAAAGAAGGTACAGAGAGTTTTAGATCAAACCTTAAAAAAACTAGGTGAATAAATAAAACATGTAAGCSAGTTGGTTTAAATAATTGAGAAAAATGAGATTAGAGCAAACATATTGGGACTAGCATTTCCAGTAGGTAACACAGAGACTTGCAGTCCTGCTCCTAATCCCTAGTCACACAGCCCAGGTGCTGGACGTAGCAAGTACAGAAATGCTAGTGTGGAGGAAGAAAGACCTTAAATCACCTAAGCAGTTGAAATACAAAGATGGACAATCTTTGAATTAAAACAACAAAGAGCTTCAGCTGTAAATATTCTATTAAGTTTTTAAGGCAGAATTAAATGAGAAATAATAAAAGTCTGAATGCTTAAAGTTATGCAAGATACCCAGATTAACTAAATATGGACTGGTCTAGTTGTTGTTTCACTAGTTTCAGTTCATTGTTTTATTCCAGAATCAGGAAATAACCTGCTTTTATAAGACAGTGACCTAATACTGTATGATACTTTATGGGTCATGTAAAGCTTTCCTGAATGTGGCTGAGTTGATCCTTCCTTTTCTCTGTGACATAGGAGGCTTTTATTGTTGTTGCAGTGACAAAGACTTGACCAAGGAACAGGGCCATGTCTTAGCGTCTCTGCATTCTCAGTGTCTTCCTGGCACAGTGCCTGTCACTTGGTAGATACTTTGTAAAAGGATAAATTAATGAAGTGAAGTAATCTAGCATAAATGAATATTCTATTGAGGGCATTTCTGCATCTGTAATGCTCATTTATTAATATTTATGATTATGACTAAGACTGCCAAAATCTTGAACCATCGAAGAATATGTTTTACATATTTCAGTTTACATCACTGTATCAAATATATTWTTAAGATATTGATTCTTAGAACATTAGTAGTGACTGTTGGAAGTATATCAATGACTTACTGTTAGCTAGTTAGGCTCAAYTTATCAAGTATTAGTTGAGTATTCTTATGTTCTTATTATACATGACAGTGAAAATTTGGCAAAATTTAAACTTGGGAACTATTTTTAAAGACGTGCCATTTTAGGAGTGCCTTAATTGTTGGAAACTTAACTGATAAGTATTTCACATGCTTGAGGTTTTACATAATTGTTTCAGAGTTGTATTTTGCAACAGACCTATATCAGTAAATGGTTTCATTCCAAGGGGAAAGGTTGTACATTTAAATTCACAGTGACATTTCTAATGGTTGCTGGTAAAAAATTAACGTTTTTGTGTTTTCTTCCTATAGGTTGAATATGAATGCATAAATGAAAAAAAGAGGCAAAAGAAAAAAAGCTATAAGAATTCAGGTGTTATCAGCGTGAAACACTGTGAGGTCAGTTTCCCTTGATGGCTTATAATGAGATCACATTTTGGGATCTTCTGTCATTATGGTTTATATCAAACGAGTAGTTTAGGCAGTTGAAAATCTGTTGAGCRTCTTTAGGGGAAAGAATAGAGTGGGAAACAGTAAATGAATCTTTCTGGAAACTTTACTTCCAAGATTTGACAACCTGTAGCAAAAGACAAAGAGTATTAAAGTTGTCTGTTATCTTCAGAAATGTGATTCAGAGTATTCTTCTATCCCTTTAGTGGAAATGGCCTGACCCAGTGCATCTCTCTTGGTTATAATTTCAAGATGAGATCTTATGACTGGAGGGAAAAAGTCAAAATTTCTTACAGTGAAGAAGTGAAGTTTTTTAATTTATATTTTTAGTATGATTTCTTTATTATTATGCTCATGAAAGCTGTTGACATATGAGGCTCATTTGTTATCTCTTAAAATTTAAAGTGAATGTCTTTCATTTTTGGCCATTAATATTCTCATCTTACTTAGCATTGCCATAATTATCCTGAAATAAATCTTATAGATTCATGACATTTAGGGGCAGGAGTACATTGTACTTGAATGCAGGTGTGATTTCCATGTTTTTATACCATGTGATGTTCAGTTTATAATGTCTTAAAATTTATGCCAGAAAGCTTTTTTGTTTCTTTTGTATAGTAGGAGAGTTTTAATTTTAACAGTTTGCTATTTGTTTTTAGATTACAGTAGAATGTACGTTCCTTGACTACATCATGGGAGGATGTCAGCTGAATTTTACTGTGAGTAACACACTCACTTTTCTAACAGGCTATAAAACATTGCTTTCCCCCTTCCATTTTGCAGCATTCTTTTGTTTATTGCCAAACCGACTCTGTGATGAAATTTGCACAGTCTGTTTAGATTCCCTCAGAGACCTCAGACAGGTTGTCTAGGTTCCTCATGGAAATTTTAGTTTTGTTGATGAAAGAACTCTTTCTCCTGAGAGAAAGCGGATATGTACAAATGAGCAGTTATCCTGCAATAATTTAAGGAATAGAAAGCATTAATGCAATAGATTTGCACAAAACAACTCCTAAGTCTGAGTCATGGGTATAATGATTCATGATTTAAAACTAGGAAAACAATAGCAGGTTATCTCATGTTGAGGCTTTAACTGTCCATRGAAATAGGCATTTGTTAGGAAAATGATTGTAGCAGGCTCTGGAATGAACATTTGTGTCTTATCCCCTGAGGTTTCTTGGTCATCACCTACAGGTGCCCCTGCTTCTCCTTAGTAAGGGCTGCTGTTGTTCTTTGGCAGGTGGGAGTGGATTTCACTGGCTCCAATGGTGACCCAAGGTCTCCGGACTCCCTCCATTTCATCAGCCCCAATGGTGTCAATGAGTATTTGACTGCTATCTGGTCTGTGGGACTGGTCATTCAAGATTATGATGCGTGAGTATGACTTTGGAAATGTTGAAACACTTGTTTTCATAATTCCCCAGAAAGGGCCAGTTTTTGTTTCATTGACTGGTACTCTGATCCGGGTGGTAGAATGAGGGTATTGGAGGGAATAGCTTTCTCCCTAAAATTTCTCTAGTTTATTATTTCTATTCTTTTCTTTGTTGACAATTTTAGTATTTACCTATGATCTCTCACCTCTTATTGTGCTTAGTTACAAAGTGTTATACAGAGAGTTTTTATTTAATAGCTGACTGAAGTCAACAAGAGTCTTATTTTTCTGATCTGGTTGCCTTGGGGTTTATTCATTAGATAAGTTGTATGTGTGATTGAAGTCCAAGGGACACATTTTGTAAACAATAGTAAAAACTATTTCTAAATGTTTCCTTGGCAGTCATCAAATACTTTTTAAATGATTTTTAACAAGTGCTAAAAGGTAACTAAATCTAATTGCTACAAAATATTCTGAATGGATGTGCAGTGGATAGGTTTTGAATAGAGTTGGGGCCTGGCATAAGTCAGTAGTAGAGTATATGTTTAGCATGCATGAGACCCTGGGCTCAATTCGCTGCACCAAAAAAGTACAAAAGAAAACAAAAATGTAAAAAGATTTGAAATAGATTTGAATAATGGTGAAGGTTTACTAAACAATATAAAAATATGCATTAGTAATTTTTTTTAGCAAATCTATTACTGCTCAGGATAAATTTTCACTTGTGTTTGCCTGTTATTATATATGATAGAAGTTCTTACATACTGATGTAGCTTTTTATTAATCTGTCCTGGCAAAATTCAGAAGCAAATTTTTTAGGCAAATGTGAACAAATCTAAAGCAAACTGGCAATTCCTTACCAGGCTAGTAAACTTGAAGGCAAAAATCTTTACATAAAACAAAAAGTTACTTTATAGAATACTTTGTTATATAATCCAAGATGAAAATAAACAGTACTGAAATATTTCAAATTAAAAATAGCTAGTATAGAAGTATAATAAAATTTTCAAAGTAACACAATTATAATGGGATTTTTAAAAAGTAGAAATTTATAGGATTACTTTCTTTGCCTCCTGGAAGTTAATAACAAACGGGTTCTAAATTTACTGCAGTGGAAAAAAACAACAACAAAAAAGGAAAGGCATAGTTCTTAGATCAAAGAGGAATTCAAATTGTAATAATAGACTATGTAGGAATAAAGGACACCAAGAAGACAGTAACTGGCCCTGTTTCTATAAAGAAACTTTTAAACTTTACGTGCTTCTATCTGTCTGTCTGTCTAGTTGGCTGGCTGGCTATCTTAGGAGATGGAGGTCTTGCTATGTTTTCCAGACTGATCTTGAACCTTTGGACTCAAGCAATTTCCATCTCTTCTTTTTTTTTAATATTTAATTTTGGATGAACAAAATACCWTTTTTTTTGTTTATTTTTATGTGGTGCTGAGAATTGAACTCAGTGCCTCATACATGCTCATTAAGTGCTCTACCACTGAGCTATGACCCCAGCCCCTCTGTTTTTATTCTTAAATACGAAGAGTCAGGAGCTGGGGTTGTGGCTCAGCCGTAGAGCGCTCACCTAGCATGAGCAGGACCCGGGTTTGATTCTCAGCACCACATAAAAATAAAGGCATTGTGTCCATTTATACCTAAAAATAAATAAATAAATATTTTTAAAAAATACGAAAAGTCGAATACAAATGAACTAACTTTTCAACAAAATAAAAGAATAGTAAGTACAAATTAATCAATTTAAGTCAATATTGGAATGCAACCCTGACAGAATGATTCTTAAAATTTTCTAGAAGGAAATAGGGATCAGAAAAAACAAGAAAATTTTCAAATGAGAGAGAGAGAGAGAGAGAGAGAGAGAGAGAGAGAGAGAGAGAGAGACACCGACCAGTGAAGAAGAATTTGCTCTAGCAGTTATTAAGACTTTAAAATAAGCTAAAGTGTGCAATTTGTACATGACCAATGGAACCAAGCAGGCAGGCCAAAAGTAGACCCACATGTATGTATAAGTGAATTTAATATATGATGGAGTTAGCATTTTAGAAAGTGGAAGACAATCTTAGTCATAATGATAGATTTCCTGTATGTGTGTGTCAACTATTATATGTCAGGGACCATTTAAAGTACTTTCTTTCTTTCTTTTCTTTTTTTTATAACTGTGCTAGAGATGGAACTCTGAGCCTTGTATACACTAGGCAAACATTCTAGTGAGCCACACTCCCAGCCCTAAAGTACTTTCTATTTAATACACGTCTAATCCTCACATTTCTCTGTGCGATGATACTTGTATGATCTGCACCATACAGTTGAGAAAACTGAGATCCAGGGAGTTAAGTAACTCGTTCAGAATCAGCTGATAACTGGCAGAGACAGGATGGAGCCTGGGCCATTGGGCTCTAGAGACATGCTCTTGTGATTATGATTTGGAAGGGTAAAAGGAAAAAAAAAATCACCATTTTGATAAATTAAATCAATAAATGATTATTTTTGGAAGTTCAACAAAACTTAGACAAAACTTTGGCAACCCTAACCCCCATGAAAGAGAGAAAGTGTACATAGAACACTAGTAATGAGAAAAAGATTATAAGCATAAATTTAGAGGAAAAAAACTCCAAATATATTAATACTTTGTAAAATATTATGCCATTACATTTGAAAATCCACATGAATGGATGATTTTTAAGAAAGCTCTTGGGCTGGGGATGTGGTTCAAGCGGTAGGGCGCTCGCCTGGCATGCGTGCGACCCGGGTTCGATCCTCAGCACCACATACCAACAAAGATGTTGTGTCCGCCGAGAACTAAAAAAAAAAAAAAAATATTAAAAAAAAATTCTCTCTCTCCTCTCGCTCTCTCTCTCTCTCTCTCTCTCTCTCCTCTCTCACTCTCTCTTTAAAAAAAAAAAAAAGAAAGCTCTTAATTATCAAAGCTGACTCAAAGGCAGAAAACTTGAATAGTCCATTCTCAAAGAGTCAGTCCATACAAGGGCACCAGGCCAGGGCAATTTCATGTGTAAATTCTAACAAATCTGCAAGGAATGAATTCAAACCCCAAAGAATCAACTGAAAAATAAAAATGTTACAAATTGTCAAGAATTCAGAAAGGTGGTCAGAGACAACACAAAATAAAAAATCAGGTTCTTACCAACTATCAATAACCAATTTAAAAAGAATTTAGTGGAGAAAAGTTACATTTCATATTGCAGTAAAAAATGAAAACGAGGAAAACTACAAAATTGTACTGAAGAACAAAGAAAGAAATTTGTTTAAATGGAAAGATACCTCATAATTTTTAGATAGGTATAATAATGAAATAAAATGTGAAATTTCATCTGAATTTATCAATTTAAATTAATATTGGAATGTAACCCTGACAGAGTGATTCTTAAAATTTTCTAGAAGGAAAAAGGAATCAGGAAAAAACAAGTAAAACTTCAGATAAGAGAGAGAGAGAGAGAGAGAGAGAGAGAGAGAGAGAGAGAGAGAGAGGTGTGAAGAAGAATTTGCTCTAGTTATTAAGACTTATTTTAAAGCTAAAGTGTAGAATTTGTACATGACCAGTGGAACCAAGCAGCAAGCAGGCAGGCCAAAAGGAGACCCACGTGTACGTATAAGTGAATTTAATATATGATGGAGTTAGCATTTTAGAAAGTAGAAGGGATTGTCACAGCTAAGAAACTGAATAAGAATTGATTTGAATCCCTGTCACACCTGTAAATATTAGCATATTATTCTGCATAAATTATAGACCAAACTGATAAAATGGATACCCCAAAACAGAGCAGCTTCACCAGAAGAGAGGTAAATATCTCAGGACTGATTGGGCAGTTTTGCTCCTCTCCATTTACAGATTCTGTTCCTGGGTTCAGGGCAGCTTCCTTGGTTTTCATCTCTAGCCAGTGGGAAGGGGAGAAAGGGACCTGGGACTGCAAGTGCATTCCTTTGTCGGGATTCAAAAGCAGCTKACAAATCCCTCTACTCACATCTCTTGAGCTGGAACCTAATTCCAGACCACATCCATCCCAGAGAAGCTGGGAGGTGGAGTCTCCAGCTCAAGTGTTCTATTAGTAAGGAAGGAGGAAATGATGTTGGAGGGGAGCACTTTTTGCTCCATATCCTACTTTCCAGATGAATTAGAAGTTTAATATCAAAAGCAAACCTTGAAAGTTCTAGGAGAAAATATGTATGAATTGTTTGTTATCTTGAAGTGGAAAGGACTTTAAATAGGACAAGCAAAAGAAATCATGAAACTTTTTTTTATGTGTTTACATCCACTAATATTAAAAACTAAAGGAACAATATTCTAAATAAAGTTACAGATTACATATTGGAAAAAATATTTGACATGACATAGGTTCCATATTCAATGCAAAAAGGACTGTTAAGAATTAATTTACAAAGAACATCCAGAGTAGAAAAATTCGTATGTTCATTACAGTGTTTTATGATAACATTACATTGGCCATCTATCACTATGGATATGAGAAAGTATCCATATAATGGAATACTCATTAGTCATTCATATGATGTCAATATTCAGGTGCACACAGTCCCTATCCCTAAATCCTCGGGCCAAATATTCATACATTTTTGCTYCAAAAACCTGAGAGTTTTATGATATTTGGCATTTGCACTGTGTTTTTCTGGCCAAATTTAAGAATATTTATATTAAGTGGCATAAATAAATGCTTCAAATAACCTAATCAGCAAGTTTAGGTCTTACTGCCTAATGAATTTGTTGCAAACAACTGTAAACATTTGTGATTTTTAGGGCTTTATGGGTTTTTATTTACACATTTGTTCAGTGAAATGATGTGTAATATCTAAATAGAAAAGAATGGGTTATAAATCACAAATATAAATTCCATTTTTATAAAATTTATAGAAACATTGCTTCTCCCTCATGCAAAGAAAACTATTTCAACTGATGGTTCTCTCTGGCAGCTATAGGTAATCTTTGTTGTTTTATACTTTTCTGAGATTTTAATAATTCTTTAAAAATGAGTTCACATTGATTTTATTATGAGTGAAGACACAACACTCTCTTTTGAAAAAAAAACACAAGATTTCACTTTTCTCAAATTTTCATTTTAGTGATAAGATGTTTCCAGCTTTTGGTTTTGGAGCTCAGATACCACCTCAGTGGCAGGTAAGAGGAAATCTCATTTTAAAGCTTTGCTTGCTATAAAAGCAAAACAGGATTCATCAGTTCATCTTTCATCTTTGACAGGTATCACATGAATTTCCAATAAACTTTAATCCATCCAATCCCTACTGTAATGGTAAGTTTAAAAGTAAACATGAAGACTTGAAGCTGAAAGACCTCACTATCTTTCTTACTTGTTTTTTATTGTGACTTAAAACTACTCAATCACATGTCTAGGTTTCATTTTGTGACATATTCTGTTAGAGAAGGTAGAAAAACTATACCAGTTTGTAGTTAGGGTAGTAATAATAATTATGGTGCAAAATCAGTATTATGGTGATAAAGGTTCTGAGGTTTAATGGAACAAAAAAATAAATTCATAATCTTGAGAGTAGTTCAACAAAAAACTTATATTAAAAGTATTTTCACACATAAATTGATTATATAATAAACTTTCAATGAAATGAGTAATTCAGAATTATAATTCATCTGAAGCCTTTTTGAGAGTAATAGTTACTCTACAAAGGAAAAGTATCTAATTATGTGTAACTCAAACAACATTCTATAAGTAGATGGGATAGGTGGAAGGAACCAAGAATTGTTACCTATAGCAGATTTTCTGTGTTGAAAKCAGGAGGCAGACATGTGTCTTTCAATTCACTTTTTCCCCAATGCTTCAAATATCCAAGTGCTTCCTTCTTTTTGCCATATTAAACAGTCAAATTAAAATGCCAAATGTCCCACTATGTAAGACTGAACAACTTGGAGGAAGGCTGGTAGGTGTCGGATCACAAGCATCATTTATAATTCTAGACAATCAGCTAAGTTCTGAAAAGGATATATTTTTAAAATTTTTTTTTAGCTGTTGATGGACTTTTATATTATTTATTTCTATGTGGTGCTGAGGATCGAACTCAGTGGCTCACACATGCTAGGCAAGCACTCTACCACTGTGCTACAACCCTATCCCTGAAAAGGGTCCTTTTAACAATTACAAAACTTACAGTTTTCCAATAGAAGAAGGTCTTCTTTTCTTCTCTTCCTAAACAATATTCATAAGGAAGAAGAGTGTGGGGCAGTTGGTTGGGGACAGTTTGCCTGAAGATTTTCTCCCTTTTTTTCTCATATGAGTGCAGTGTTCTTTTAATGCAGTGTCAGTGGCTTGTTGTGACTTCTTTGAAACTGGAAATATTATTTTTACAGAATGTGATTCATGCTTATGATGAAATTGGAATCATTTTTATGGACTATATATGTGACAATTCCTTTTAGAAGTACATTTGCTCTACAAATGATATGAACCCATCTCATGTTACCAAGCCCAGATTTTTTACTTTTGGTTTATAGTCTAGAAAAAGAATTAGTTTGGTCTCAGATGAAAGAAATGCTATATGGGCAAAAAAAGATACAACCTTATTTTTTTTCTTGGAAAATATTAATAATTTATTTAATATGCAGATTGGTAAAGTTTTTTTATTTGTTCTGGTAAATATACACGATAGTAGAACGCATTTTGACATATCATACATAAATGAAGTATAACTTCTCATTCTTCTGGTTGTATATAATGTTGAATTATACTGGTCATGTAGTAATATATGCACATAGGGTAATAATGTCCGATTCATTCTAGTATCCTTCCTATCCCCATACAACTTTATTTTAAAGCAAGGAAGTTTAATTGCCTTTCTTCAATTAATCATTGAATACAGTTGCCTAGAAATATCATCTTACTTGTTCCTTTAATGCAAGGAAGGATTTTGGCATAACTCAATTTTAGTTAAGGAATTGAAGGTTATTGATATTTGTGGAAAAAAAATGAATTGTTTATACCTTCAGTTTGAAAAGCAAACAAAGATGATAGACATGAAAAAAAATTGTTATCACTATAGTTATAGGCTCAAATTTCCACTGTGTATGTCATTACAGTGAAAGATTCTGATACTAGCTAATGTTAATTTTATTATTTTTATTGTTACTGGATTGACACCTAGTTACAACATTATCTTATACATGTGAAATCAACTCCATATGTGAATTAGTTATATTCTCAAAGGTTGTTCATAAGACTACTTGTTTCAAAATTCAACATGGCCAAGAGTTAAGTTTATAACTCTTAAATTTTAAGAGGAGAGACTTGGTCATATGAAGCTTTTAGACCAAGTATACAGTTCTCTCCCTTGTTGGTCTATGATCTGTTGGCTCTTTTTAAAGCAAGAGATCTACTTTGGGGCTGGGGTTGTAGCTCAGTGGTAGAGCACTTGCCTAGTATGTGTGAGGTACTGGGTTCGATTCTCAGGACCACATATAAATAAATTAATTAAATAAAGATCCATCAATAAATAATTTTTTTTTTAAAAAGAGGCCTACTTTGGTTTACATTAAAATTGTGTGTGTGTGTGTGTGTGTGTGTGTGTGTGTGTGTGTGTGAAATTTCCAAGGATTTTAGCAAGGATTGTGGGGAATTCTTTATAATTTCTAGTACCCTTTTGCCATGTGTCGTTGAGGACATCTTCCACAGTGCATACACAAGAAAAAGGTTTCACTAGAAGTGATTTTTGCGAGGAATGCCATTCAGCTTTCATCAGGTTGTGCTGTTGTTATAAGAGACCTTTAAAACTCAGTGGCTTATGATGAAGAGTTTATTTCTTGTCTACAAGATTGTATCCCTCCTCCAGTGGCTTATTCTGGGACTCAGCTGAAGGAATAGCTCTTTGCTGGGTTATACTGCTCCTGTGGAAGAGGGAAAGAGCAACAGAGCTAGAGAAATCATCCATGCTTAGATGTGGTTGTCATGTCCATTGACATGCGTTGGTCAAAGCTAGTCAAATGTTGTCCATCTTTCTATTATAATAACACTCCAGGTCCAGGGCAGTGTCTTATAAGCAAATTCATTACTGTTTCTACCGCAAAATCTAATAGATAACCTGGAGGTAAATATTTGTAACTAATATAGTCTATTATTACCGTGCCTAATCTTTAAGTTGTTGAATAAACCTTTGTATCATTTAATTAACTAGAATTAATATTAGCTTATAACCATAAGATATTTTTATAGAACCTTTGGCCTTATACACAAATATTTTTTCATCTTATCAGTAATTTTTCTTATGCTTATCATCAGTTGTATGATGTAACACTTTTTTCATGGTTCTCTTTCCATCAGAGTCCCATTCGTGATCACCTCAATATTAAGCACAAATGTAATAGTCCTGTACACTAATGGATAATTTGGCTGACRTGAGAATACATGACTTCTACTGAGGGAGAGCTGGGTTTGTAGGTTTTTGCAATAGAGCGTGGCCATGGAGTTTTGTCATATAGTTTAGAGGAAGCCAGGCATGCTGGTTCCTGTCTGTAATTCCAATGACTTGGGAGGATGAGGCGGGAGGATTGCGAGTCTGAGGCCAGCCTCAGCAACTTAGCTTTGTCACAACATAAACAAACAAACAAACAGGATTGGGGATGTAGCTCAGTGGTAAAGTGTTATTAATTTTAATCCCCAATTCCATGTGTGTGTCTATGTGAGTGTGTGTGTCGGGGCGGGGGGTGGTGCTTAGAGGAGCACCTGAATGGAATATTTGGCTTCTTGAAGTAACATATGTTGATATATGATTATATTAGTGTTATAAATCAACACTTTCTGCTTAAAGATTTTTAATACTCCTTTTTTGGGATCTAGGAATCCAAGGCATCATAGAGGCTTATCGGACCTGTCTTCCTCAGATAAAACTCTATGGACCAACTAATTTTTCTCCAATCATAAATCATGTGGCTAGGTTTGCAGCTGCAGCCACACAACAGAAGACAGCTTCTGTAAGTGTTCTTGTGTTCAGGAAATGGGAAAATTGTGGATCGGTAGTTGCTTCTGTTGCAGTATTTCTGCTTATTTGGCCTGTCATAATACAAAGTCAAGAGGAAGAGGTAATGATATAGTCATTGTTGGTTTGTGAGTAATATCTGTTGTTAAATTAGCAATAATTAAAAGGCAACAACAAAATGATGCATTCATAAGTTTGTTTTTTTCCCCTCTGTCTTTTGAGTGCATTTTTGAGTTTCTACCCACCCCCCCCAAAAAAAAGCTATTGTCTACCTCTTTGAGGTGGACTTCACAAAATAAGGCTTGGGGAAACTGACATCAATTGCTGTTGCAAATTTCTTTTTTTTTTTCTTTTTTGTGGTGCTAAGATTAAACCCAGGGCCTTGTGCATGCAAGGCAAGCACTCTACCAACTGAACTATATTTCTAGCCCCACAAATTTCTTACAGTACTACAGAGKTTTGAATTAGCTAACCATTGCTGATTGTACCTGGGATCCCAATCTCTCTTAGCTTCAGTATTCTCAGAAGTGAGGTGTGGGAAGTTGCATCCAACAGTTGCTCAAAGGGATGAATAAGAAAATTCATATAATGTGTGTAGTGCTGGGTCACAGGAAACAGTACCTGTTAACTACTACTAGAAATCTTATTCCATTCTAGACTAGAATGGTCCAAAAGATGGAGTCATACCTTTAAGGACCATTTTGCTAATATCTGAAAAGTTTTATTCAGAAATGACAAAATTGAAAGAAAGATTTACTGCTTTAAACTATGTCCATTTTTAAAAGGTGTATTTTAGTTGGGTAAATAATTCTATTACTTCCATATGTATTTCATCTTTTGAGAATGGAGTCTCTACTTGCTTCCTTGATCCATACTTGGACGTAGTTAATGTTTCAGTTAAATAAAGATGTTTATTCCTATGCATAGTGGAAGGTTAATCTTTGGACATTTAGATGCCTAGCATCTGTTTATTTTGCCAACCCAATTTTGTAGTGTGTTGCACTTTTCATGAACCTACAGTTTTTATAAAAGTCAATTTCCTTGTCATCAGAGAATCCTAGAATTTTTTGTGCAGATGGTATTCTGGGTAGAGACGGGAGAGGAAAATGAGCGAGAGACCAAATGACTCTTCAGGCTAGAAATATCATTAATCGTTGCTTTTATTGTTTGGGACCTTGACCTTATCAGTGGATATACTTCCCCTTTTTTTTTGGCAGCAATATTTTGTGCTCTTGATTATTACTGATGGTGTCATCACAGACCTTGATGAAACCAGGCAAGCTATAGTTAATGCTGCCAAGCTGCCTATGTCCATCATCATCGTTGGAGTCGGAGGAGCTGACTTCAGTGCCATGGAGTTTCTRGATGGTGATGGGGGACCTCTTCGCTCCCCATCTGGTGAGATGGCCATCAGAGATATTGTCCAGTTTGTGCCTTTCAGACAGTTCCAGAAYGTGAGTACCTTTCTTCTCTATTAAAACCCTAAGGTATTTGAACACAGATACTGTCTCCAATCAAGCGCTTGACTACTGGTGCAGTATTCAAGGATGTATAAATGACTTTTCATATGAGAGATCTTATTGGATATGGCATGGTTGTATTTTATGTTCTCCTTGTAGTTTATATGATAGATTATTAAAATGGTATTATTATGAATAGTGTAAGGTTTATTTTGTCTTTACCTTTGTAACAACAGAAAAAAATTCTATCCAAGTATATGCTGAACTTACCAGATTGGAAGTTGGTTTGATGAAAATCTTTTGGAGGACTGATTTACCCAGTTTGCTCCAGTGGTAACATCATATGGCACTATAATACAGAATCACAGCCAGGATGCTAATGTTGATACAGTCAAGATGCATCACTACAAAGATCCCACGTGTTGTCCTTTTATAGCCACATCCACTTCCCTTCTGCCTTTGACCCCTCATTAACCTATTGAAATTTCTCATCTGTTCTTCATTTATGTAATTTTGTCATTTGAAGAATGTTACATAAATGGAATTGTACAGAATGTAACATTTTGGGACTCATCTTTTTCCACGTAGAATAATTTTTCTGTCAGTCACTCAGGTTGTTGCATTATTGCATGTATCCCCCCCCCCCAATGTAGTTATATTATCTTTTTTTTTTTTAAAAAAAAAACAATGTTTGTGTTAAAGGATCTTATCCACCTGTGCTTAAACACTTTCCATTTTCCTCCATTGTATCAGTTGTAATAAAGCCTTATTAGTTGTTCTCATAACAACTAAATATACTGCCATATTTTACAAATGATCTATAAGCCCTAGTAATATTATAAAGTGATTTTTAAAAGATAGTCCTGGGTATTGGTTGTCATTTTGAAAAGAGTATATAGAAATCTGATTTATAATGATGTGTGAAATTTAATCTGATATGTGAAATTATAGAAATCACATAAAGTATGAATATAAATAGATTGTGAATATTACTCTTTTCAAATAACCTTCATAGAAGGCTATCAGACTCAGTAATCACACTTAAAGCTATTTTGAAAGTCTATTTACATGTATTCTTTTTATTGCTGAGTAGAATTCTAGGATGCAGATGTACCACAGTTTGTTTAACCATTCACCCATTGAAGGGTATCTGGGTTGTTTCCAGTTTTTGTCTATTACATATAAAGCTACTATAAATATTCATGCATTTGTTTTGATCATAAGTTTTTATTCCTCTGGGATAAAACCTGGGTATACAGTTGCTGGGTCCTATGGTAGTTGAATATTGAATTTTAAAGCAATTRTTAAACTTTTCCAGAGTGGCTATACCATTTTATATTTCTACTAATAATGGGAGAGGAGAAAAGTGGTCATGTTAAGAATTTTTATGGTGTACAGGAGAGCATCTAAAACCAGTGAAATCTGAATAAGTTCTGTGAATTGTACCAATATCAGTTTCCTGGTTTAGACCTATAGTCAGATAAATGTTATCTTTGGACAAAACTGGGTAAAGCATACATGGGACCACTCTTTATTTTTGTAGCTTCCTATGTATCTATTATTATTTTAAAATAATAATAGATTCATAGGAAGTAAAATAATTTAATACCAAGTTAAAAGTTAAAAAAAAAGCAAACAACAACAACAACAACAACAAAAATCATCAAATTTTAAAAGGCTGGCACCAAAAAAGGCCTGAACATGTATTAGCAGGGATAATTATAAGTAACACTGGTTATTATAAGTAACATTGGTTAGTTAGCTTATGCCGTATTTTGTGGACTGTTCCTAAGAAAAAATACAAGCCTAGGAACTGGGAATTCCAGCTTTTTACTGGCTGATAAAATGTCTCTTGTCTTTTATCAAAAACTAGTAAAGCTGGGCATGGTGGTGCACACACCTATAATCCCAGCAATTTAGGAGGTTGAGGAAAGAGCCTCAGCAATTTAGCAAGACTCTGTCTCAAAATTAAAAAATAAAAGGGAAAGGGGTTGGGATGTGTAGCTCAGTGGTAAAGTGTTTCTGGGTTCAATATTCAGTACTCCCCCCTACCAAAAAAAAAAAAAAACAGTAAATCTTTGGTTACTAATAGTTATTTTGGTTTTATTTTTCTCAAGGCTCCAAAAGAAGCACTTGCCCAGTGTGTTTTGGCGGAGGTTCCCCAGCAGGTGGTGGGCTACTTCAACACATACAAGCTCCTTCCTCCCAAGAATCCAGCAGTGAAATAAAAGGAGCTGCGTCCACTTAAGCAGAATTCTTATGCTAAAAGGAACAATGCCATTTCTTACACACAATCATGTATCTGCTACTTTATGTACTTTTACCCCAGCATTCATGATGTAAACCTAGTTCTATTTGAATTATATCTGTTTAAAGAGTAGTTTTTATATTTTTTGAGGGAGACAGTGCCAAGTCCATGTTTGCCCAATCAATTCAGTGATTGCTAGTGATTTACAATAATTGCAGTTAGGCCTATTTGGGTTAGAACCTAGTGTGGGGAAAGCTGATTTTTTGTTGTTTACTTTTATATAATAAAATTGCCATTTATAAATGTTTGTCAGTAGAAAGAGTGAAAAATTGTTGGGATGATGTGATTTTTCAGGTGGCTGTACTTTGTTCACAGTAAATGTTTTACAGGTCAATGTCTGTAACTATTGATTGAGAAAGCTTCTTAAATTAGACAATATTGAATTTGTTTCTGTGGATTCAGTCTTTTTCCACTGGGCAAAAACTACCTTTATAGTGCACCAGATTTGTGCTACAGTTTAGACACTGCACAATTTACAAAACAGCATGAACTCTCATAGTACTTCATGAAAAGGAAAAGTACATACTCAATTTTTAAATATACAATCAACAAGAAGAACCTCTTATGAGTAAGCTATTTTTATTTGCCTTTCTAGATTTTTTTCATTGTGGAATACTGTAAATGTGCTCAGATTTGGCCTTTCTTTTCATTGATTGAATATGATGCTCAGGACTCTATAGATGCATAGTTACAGGTTGTCCCATATCTACATTGTTAGATTATTTTAATCTGAGATTTGCTAAATAGGTTAGTATTGCTTTGTCCAGAAAAGGTATGAGGACCAAACATATAAGGTAAAAATTCAGAATTCCATTTGTTTCTGATGAAAGATTTTACTTATTGAAGAAAAAAAGAAAATGAAATTTTTTACTTTCCTTGCTAAGGTCACATACATTGATTTATACAGATTTATTTAGGCATTTTCTCCTTTTGTTAAGTAGTATTTTTATTTGATAGCAGTTATCTATTATTGAAATCACATTTTAATAATGTATTATTTCCTAAATCCAAAATATATTCCATTAAGTATAATAGCAGATATAACTTTAAAAAAAATAAAAGAAAAAAAAATCCCTTTCCACTACTACATTAGGGTAGAGTGGATTTAATGCACTTTTTTTTGGGTTGTTTGTTTTAAAGAATAATTTTGTTTCCTGGTGATTGCCCTTCAGAACATATTACTAGGTAAGCATTACATTTTTAGAAACAAATTCAGTAACATTTGATGGAGGACTTATGTGCCAAGCATTGTGCATAGCTCTATGTTGGCCAATTAATAATTTATCATTTATAATTGTGTGTTTACCCTTAAGTGGATGTACACAGCAACATGTAGACCTTTCTCTCAGTATCATTGAAAACCCGCACCACAGCTCACGGCCCTTATTCTCTTCAACATCTAAAGGAGGTGAGCTGTCAGCTGTGAACAGCTTTGGCTTCTCAGAAACAGCTCACTGCCAAGGTCCGGCTCAGAAGGGAGCTACTTGTTGTCATGGTTGCTTAGCCAGGTGAGCAGTCACCACTCTTCCCTTGGCTATCTGGGCCCCGGGTATATGCTGATAACTTGAAGGTACCTATCTAGTAGGCTTCCACTCCGTGGGACAGTTCAGTAGTCAATAAGTGATTTCAGCATTGTCAATAGAGGAGAAAGAACTGATCATTCTTTCTTGTTTTGGAGCCTTTGTTGTCTCAGAGGTCCTAATTTCAGTTAGGAAGCAGTATAGATATGCTTGTGTRCTTGGAAACAGCATAAATATGTTGCTATGGTTTTTAGATTTTTCTTTTTATATATAGGAAATCTTTTAAATATTGACTTATACAGTTTCTCAATGTGTGGGTGAACAGGTAGGAGAGGAGCCTCTCTGAGTGCCCTGGGCCTGCTCCTCATGTTCCTTCCTTAACCACATCCTCAGCAGCCCTGGAGTTACCTGTACAGGCCACTTGGAAACCTCTGGTCACAAGCAGCCATTATTTTCATGGGACAAGTGGAAGTCACCACTGTCAGGTTGATTTGGTCTTCATAATTTTTTTATTCTGGTTCCACCAGAATTGTTCCCTTTAGAAAATATTTTTCTTTATTGATTTCTTGATCCGTTTAATTATAGATGTGTTATTCATAAGGGCTATGATTTCAACAAATAAAGGTAATTGGTACCTTTCTTCAGTTTGAAATAAAAGTATTTACAGTTTCTGAATTATCATGGTATAAAATCCTTACCATTTGAACATTCACATGCTGTGTGAATGTTTGGATATTGTTTTATATTAAAATAGTCCTTTTCCCTGTTGTGCCACCATTCATTCAGATACCCTCCACTCTTTAAATGTATTTAAAGAAAAAARATAACCAAATGGACTTCTACATCTCATGTAATCAGGTATATTACAAATGTATATTAAAGTGACAGTTCCTGGGAATACATACTATTTCTCATGCACTTAGCAAGAAAGTAGTATAACCCACTAACCTAGTCACCTCACCTTGTGATTAGAATGGAAATTGTAAGAACATTAAAAATTTAAAGTCTGATCAGGGATTTACAACWGTTCACTCTGGGTAGTGCTTAGGCAACCTTTCCAAAGTTAATTCAGGGCCCCATTGCTGCTTATGCTGTATTTTTTTTCAATCTTTTGTCTGTTTCATTTTGTAAATTTCCTAGAAAGCCATCTTCAATCAGTCTCATCTAGTTTGTACTTTATCATGGAAATGTCATAGAAGGTAGCCAGAAGTTTGGTGGAAATTGGGAGAGACTATTTTGCATTTATATGGATGTCCTATGTGATACTGTGTATATAACTTACTAATATATGAATTGATGTTAATTGATCTTCTATATGAATTCCCTTTGGATAAAGTTACTTCTTGATGTGACACAATAGTGTCTTGTTTTTATTTTTATTCTTTCTCTACATATTATCAAAAAAATAGAAAAGCTAGAAATAAAGTATCTTAATCCATCTTCTGCTGCTATAACAAAATACCACAGGCTGGGTCATTAATAAATAATAGAGGTGGGAAGCTCAAGAGCCTAACACCTACATCTGGCAAGGATCTCTGTGGAACATGGTGGAAGGGCAAGTGAGCACATGTGAGACAGAGGTATTTTGCTGTTGACGTTGTTGTTGTTTTAAATCAGGAAATCACATCCACATTAACTAATTCACTTCTGTAATTGCAGCATTCATCCATCCATGAGGGAAGAGTCCTCATGACCTAAGTTTCTCTCTGTCAGTAGTGTTACACTGGCAATTAAATTTCAAAAGATTTTTGGAGGGAACATTCAAACCATTGAATAAAATGGATATGGTATTTTTTTTTTTTTGGTGGCCTGTATATCATAGTTTACTAAATTAAACATTTTGGGGGATGTCATTATTTTTACATTTATTTGTTTAAAAGTATCAAATGGGTTCAATATACTTTTCTAGGTACAATAAAGGAAAGTTTCATAGCTCATTGCTAGGATAACCTGACATATATAATACATTGTATCATTTATGTTAAGCAGGATGGCATGTCCACATAACTTTTTAAAATTTTAAAAATTATTTCTCTTATTTTGCAAAATTTAAAATTATTCCTTGGGGCTGGGGTTGTGGCTCAGCGGTAGAGCGCTCACCTAGTGTGTGCGAGGCCCTGGGTTTGATCCTCAGCACCACATAAAAATAGATAAATAAAGCTATTAATAAATAAAAATAAAATTACTCCTTATTTTGCAAAATTTAAAATTACTTAATTTAGACAAGGCTTTGCAAATGCAGTGGGATTCCATGAAGCAATCACAGTTACTGCCTTCATAGAAATGATAGTCTGAGTAATTATTAAAGTAGTTAGACATGAGGCCAGTGTGTGAGAAGCATGTAGTAGGGAGGACTCAAACCCATCTGGGAGGCAAGGAACTTTGCCACAAAGCTAAGGCCTGAAAGATAGTTGGTGAAAGAGTTAAAAGCACTTATGAAGGGATCAGGTCTACAGCATGAATATTCCAGAAATGGAAAGAAATTTGAGTTTGCTGGAATGTAAAGTGTGAGGGGGCCCAAGTGCSGTGGCACATGCTTGTAATTCCAGCGGTTTGGGAGGCTGGGGCAGGAAGATCACATGTTCAAAGCCAGGCTCAGCAAAAGCGAGGTGCTAAGTAACTCAGTGAGACCCTGTCTCTAAATAAAATACAGAAATAGGGCTGGGGATGTGGCTCAGTGGTCAAGTGCTCCTGAGTTCAATCCCCGGTACACCCCCCAAAATAAATAAAATGTGAGGGGGAAAGTGGTGAAAGAAGAATGGAAAGGGTGGAGTGGTTTACATCCTGGGGACCCTCTGTGTCAGGTAAGGGTGTTCTGACTTACACTAAGAGTGTTAGGATACTACTGAATAGATTTCAGCAAAGGAATGATGTGATCATATTTGTATTATTAAAAATAATGGAAGACCTTACATTTTAGGGCAGACAAGGAGACTCACAAACCCACAGAGTGTTGCCAAACCTGGGTTTGGCCACCATGCTTTGCCCTGGTGAAGCCCAGATAGGGAAGTAAGAGATTGTCACCTTCTGGGGCAGACAGAACTCTTTGGTCTCATCCTGGATAAGGATCTGATTCTTGGTGTGTTTCCAAATTCTTTGCTTTTGATTTTCCTGCCACAAACCTGCCTCCATATCAAATATCAAATAGGCCCATGTCTCATCAATTCCTTAATGATTCAGAGGCACTTGGTGATATAGATCTCTAGGATTATCAACCTTTGCTTATGGTAAATTCATCGCCCTTATCATTTGTCACCAACTATCACTACATATGGTCAAATTCCCCAGAAAAATCAAAGGAGATTGCACATTTTGGCTTGGCTATTGAGTCTTTACTCCAAAAAGAAATGATCAGTGAAAAAGCATCATTATAAGCAGAATTTTCACTTCTTACAGCTTGGGAAAGGAGAGCTTTTTTTTTTAGTTGTTCTTATTATCAGCAGACTCACAAAGCACCAGGTTTTGTAGCACCACCTGGGCTTCCAGAACTAGACTCAAAAATTCCCAGAGTTAGGTAGCTCTAGGGAATTCTTAGGGARAAGACTAAGGAGGAAATAATTTGTCTTTTTCAACTAACTCTTCCATTCTGTAAAATGTGTTCATTTGTTTCTTGCACAGATATTTACTGAGGTGCTTACTACTGGCAACGAATAGGGAAATTCAAAAAAAGTAAGGAATTCTTCCTAGCATCAAAGCTTATGATCTAATGTGGAAAAGGAGAAAGTATATGATAGTTAAAATAAAGCAGGAATGAGCAAATTGAGGGAGCCCTCAGGGTTGAAATAAGACTGTCTCTTCTCATGCTTTCAGGTATCCATGCTGCTTATGGAAGGACACTCTTTCCTCCCCTGCCTCCCTCCAGCATTTTTTGGTCTCCACTGCTGTCCTGTTCACCARGATTCTCCCTCCAGTCCTCATAAGAAGCCTGCATCATTAGCTTCCTCACTGTAACCTGCAGATGGCTTCTCTGTRCAATCCATAGTCTGACTCCACTATCTCATTTCTCTGTAATGCCSGAAACCCTTCCACTGTACCTTCAGGAATTGAGTCATTCCTTAGTAAATTTCTTTATATCAATGCTTTTCATGAACAATCCCTTCTCCTTATTCTAACTAAAGCCCAGTTCTCTTGAAGAACATTACTTCCTTTGCACCTTGTTAAGTGGAGGTTGTTTTCTGCTTTGAGATAACTCTCTCCTCCTTTTTTTAGCGCTCCAATTTTGAACCTTAATCATTGGATTCAATTCTTCWGTATCTATCCTCATGATAATCTTGCTCTTTACCTCAGCTCACACTTCAAAAGTTACACCCTAGGCCTTATTAACTAACTAGAATCTCATTCTYAAGTAGAGTATTCCACTTACCAATAACAACGTGCTTTCTCTTTCCCTTTGGTACCACAACTCTTAACTAGAGTTAACCATTGGTGCCTTTGATTCATTAACCYTACCAACTTTTCTGTTCAAATGGCCCTGATTCTTTTCTAAACTTCTTTCMTATAGCCATTGCCTGGGCCATTCTGCTCCAACCACATGGGCTTTCTTGCTCTTCATTTGAATATGCTTGGCTCACTTGGCTCTAGGCCCTAGCACTTGCTRTTATCCCTTTCTAAACCCTACCCCCTGCTACTCACTTGGAAACTTTGCTCCCTGACTCTTCCTGCAGTTCTTCATTYAACCACCACCTAATGAAGCCTTTGCTCATCACCTTATTCAAATTGTGCCTCTTTCCCAGTGCTTTCAATCCCTTTTTTTTTGTTTGTTTAAATTTTACTTATTTCCCTCCTTCACCCACTTAATGTGATTCCAAGAAATAAGGAATTTTGTCTCTTAGTTCAATGTTTTATCCCCAGAACTGAGAAGAGACCTTGGCATTTAGTAGGTACTCCTTAAATAGATGACTAAACTATGAATGAATGAAGTGTGTGTTGGTGCATAAATATAGAAGTTGACTTACACAAGAAAATGTTGAAACTTAGAGTGAGGAGATTTTCTATTCAATGCAAGGAACATTCAAGGCAGTGAGAGGGTTTGGGAGAGCTTCATGAATATTTTGGCATTTCCTCTGGGATTTGAAGGTTTGGGAGGATRTCATAATATAGAGGAAAGCACCATGAGGCTTTCAAACAAAAATCAGCATTGTCATTTACAGTAGTCCTTTTTTTTCATAACTGAATCTTTCCTCATTTTTACAAATATGATATGTAAATTCAAACTATATTAGTATTTCACATATTCCTATTTTAGTGAAATCTGTGGTTAGTCCCTTTCTGAAGGTCAAACTAAATCTGATTCTTTCACAGTCCTTACCTGGCAAACTTGATCATCATTTGACCTAATGAAGAAGTGTACTTGTTTGAAAAAAATCCTTCTTCTGGCAGGTGCTACTTTTATTGTTAGTTCTCCATTCTCATGTTTGAAAAGCCATGTGGTGTGTTTAGACCTTGGATTCTTCTATACTCTGTGTAACACTGGACAAAGGATCTTGTTTTATCAAATGAGGACTTGGAATGGGAATTTCTGAATTCCCTTTCAAGTCTACAATCCTGGTGTAAAGAGAGCTTGATTTATTTGAAAATARATGCAAGAAACAGCATCATGAGCCTGGTTAATAACCCTCCACATGCACTATCTGCTGAATGCTGTATCACTTAGAATTCCCAGCAGAGAATGTTCTCATAAATTTGTAGCAGGATCATGTGTATAGTGGGCAAACATCTAGAGGTACAAAGGAACAGTAAGAGGGATTGTCACTTTTCAGGTATGTCTCCTTTTCCTTATCCAAGGGAGTTATTCTCTAAAAATGTCAGGTTGTATTGCTTAATCATGCACATTTATTTGACCTTTGTACTTTCAGCTCTAGTCACAAAAGTTATAGTAGAAAAAATACAGCCAGTCATAAAAACTCAAAGAGGAAAACATCAACTTTTACTACAGTGTTATGGATAAGGTACTTAAAAAATTAATTTCAAATATTTTGGATCTGATAAGACATAAAAAATTCCAGAAAAACATAGTGATTAATATCTTCTAAAGATTTAAAAAGTTCCTCATAGGAAGGTAAAAGAATTATTGCAAGTATAGAACAGGCTMAAATTATAGAATGCACAGACTCTTCTCTGTACATTGGCATTTGGTGTAGCAATTTTTCATCTAATACTTAACTAGAAGGAAACTGTCTGTTATATATTATTCCAAATGTCACAAAAATGGCCACAGTCTTTCTGCTCTGTCCAGATCTGCTCCTTTTTGTGGTGTGATTTTACAGTCCTCCCATTATGAATGATGTTTTACTTATCTATTCCAGGCTTGTCTTGTGACTTACTTTGACTAACAGAATGT